ATAGAAATCACCCCCCAGGGGGGATGGCCACGCCGCAATCCCTTCTCCTCCATTCTCCTCTCGGGATCTTGGGCACACACGCATATGTGCCCAGCGTGAGTTTAAGCCACCGGGTCCGGAACTCAAACTGCGGTCGACTACGTGGGAGTCCAGCGACATAGCCATTACGCTAACTGCTGGCCCCCATTATTATTATTTAATTTGATAAGACAGAGACAGAGAGGGGGAAGTGAGAAAGCAAGCCACCAGATCCGAGACTTGAACCACAGTCGGCCATGTGGGAGTCCAGCACCTTAACCACCATGCTACCTGCTCCCCGTCATGGGATCTCATGATATTCTGTGCACCGACCGTGCCAAGGAGACAGAGTGAGCAAGATGTACGTGGTCCCTTCACAAGGAGCTCACTGTCTGGGAGAGGAGCCAGACAACGTGGTGAAGAAGTACAGTAAAGGGTGTCGAACACTCGGACAGAGACCCGCCAGCTCACACAGCCCTTGCTCTGGATTTGATCTCTCAGAGATCAGCGCCACATTTTTGCTTGGGTGCCATACGGGCCCCTCGCACTCAACATGATGAAAACACAACTGCCTGCTCTCCTCAGCCCATTCTCCCAGTTGTCTTCCTGCTTAGTGACACCCACCCCCGCACACTCCCCTGGGCAAACTGGGAGAAGCTGCTGGCCTCTGGCCTTGCCTGGATCTCTCAGCTCAACCTTGGCCTGCCCCCAAGGTGTCACTTCTTAGAACTGTCTCAGAGAAGTTGTTTTAAGAAGAAGAACGAACATGAGCCAGCAGTTAGCGTAATGGCTATGTCGCTGGACTCCCATGTAGTCAACCGCAGTTCGCGTCCCGGACCCGGTGGCTTAAAACTCACGCCGGGCGCATGTGCGTGCGTGCCCAAGATCCCAAGAGGAGAATGGAGGAGAAGGGATTGGGCGTGACCATCCCCCCTGGGGGGTGATTTCTCGCTTTCTGTCTCTCTCTCTCTGTCTGTCTGGCGAGCGCACGCGCCCTATAGCAAAAACCTCTCCAAAAAAAAAACAAAAAGAAAAGAAAAAGAGTGTGAGCCAGCCCCATGCCTACTGGATAAGGGAGCTGACTGAGATTCAAATCCCAGCCCCCGTGGTTTGCAAGTCACATGGGGTGCACGCGTGTGCATGCCCAAATCCCAGCAAGCTGGAGAAATGGAAAAGGGACTGCAGCACAGCCAAGCCTTTCTCCCTGACAAGCACCTGAACCTTCTGTCGATTAAAATAAGAAAGAAAAAAAAGAGGAAGTAAAGCGGGCAAGAGTAGAGGCCAGCAGGTGTCATGGAGGTAAAGGCCCTGGACTCCCATGTGGTTGACCACAGTTTGAGCCCCAGACCAGGATTGAAAGTCATGCTGGGCACATGTTCTGTGTGTGCCCAAAATCCCAGGAAGAGGATGGAGGAGAAGAGATGACCATGTGGTCATTCCCTCTGAGGGGATGATTTCTCAACTCTTCCTCTCTGTCTCTGGTGACAGCATTAAAAAAAAAAAAAAAAACAAAGAATCAAGCATCTCAAGGGAGTGGAGCGATCTGCTAAGTCAGTTCCTACCCACGGGCGAAGTCAACGCAGGCAATGAATGAGTAAGTGCCGGACCCAGCTAGATCTGCAAAGTACAGGTGATTATCAGAGGCTATTGGCTGGGAACCGGCAGGGGCATGGAGGCTAAGGTGCAGAGTCCCACATGGCTGATTGCCGACTGCATGGTTCGAGGCCTGGACTCTGGCTTGAGAGACACACTGGGTGCCCAAACTCTGAGGAGGATGGAGAAGGGATTAGATGGTGGCTGTCTCTCCACCAGTTCCCCGGGGAGTGAGTTCTCTTTCTCCGGCGAGTGCACCTGTCCTGTAACAGCAACAGTTACCGGGTTAACTGGCAACAACAAGGGTTAAATGCCAGCGGTACAGTGACTGAACGGCACAGGGGATGGAAGAACTGTGGTATCTTAGTGTTGGAAGGGACTTGAAGTTGGTCATTTAATCTGCACTCTTCTCCCCAGTAGCCTGGGAATTAAATCACTCCAGAATAAGAAGAATTTGTGGGAAACTGGGGCCGGCAGGTGGCGTGCAGGTTAAGGGCGCTCAACTCCCACCGTGGTTTGAGTCCTGGATCTGGTGGCTTTCCTCCTCTCTCTCTCTCTCACTGTCCCTCTCTGGTCAAATTAAAGTGAATAAATGACTAAATAAAGTAATTTTTTTTTTGGAGAGATTTTCACTGTAGGGCGCGTGCGCTCGCCAGACAGAGAGAGACATAGAGACAGAAAGCAAGAAATCACCCCCCAGGGGGGATGGTCACGCCGCAATCCCCTCTCCTCCATTCTCCTCCCGGGATCTTGGGCACGCACGCACACGCGCCCGGCGTGAGTTTCAAGCCACCAGGTCCGGGACACGAACCGCGGTCGACTACGTGGGAGTCCAGCGACATAGCCATTACGCTAACTGCTGGTTCCCAATAAAGTAATTATTTAAAAAAGAGAAGAATTTGTGGGAAACGGAGGCGACCAGTGTGGCAAGGTCAGCTAGAGAAAGCGCAGTTGGAGAATGAGAAGCGCAGTAAGCACTGAGAGATGACCTGGACTTGGAAAACCAGGGCCGGGCTGCGCCCGCTGCCCCCTAGCCTGGTGTCCTTAAGCGAGTCACTTCACCCCCCCCCCAGTCTCCGCGTGTGTAAACTGGAGGCAATTAGATCGTCTTGTCCTCCCAGGGCTGCAGCTAGATCTCAGTGGTGCTTGGGGTAACCTTAGCCTGCCTGGCCTGGTCACTGCAGAGGAGGAGGTTAAAAGAAGCCCTGAAGCTTGGAGTGCCACAGAAACCGGATGAGGTGGGCACTACAAAGTCTAGTTACGTCTGGGGGACCAGCAGGTGGCATGGTGGTTAAGGCGCTGGACACTCCCACATGGCTGACCAAGGTTCCAGTCCCGGATCTGGTGGCTTGCTTTCTTACTCCTCCCCTTCCCTCTCTGTGTGTCTCTTTCTCTGGTCAAATTAAATTAATAAATTAAAAAAAAAAAGTCTAGTATGTCTGTAGGAAAGTGGGAACTCTCGCCATGAATCAGCCCAGAACCTGGGCTGTCATGACTGGGCAAGAGGGGCCACCCGCAGGCCTTCACGTGTCTCTCTCTCGCTGGCGGTGGTGGTTAAGGGCACCGGACTCTCACTTGGTCCCGCGGTTTGAGTCCTGGACCTGGCAGTTTGATTTCTCTCTTTTTCTCTCTGTCCCTCTCTGGTCAAATTAAAATAAATAAAGTTAAATAATTATTTTTTAAAAATAATAAGTCTGCCCCTGCTGATCCGGAACAGAGATGGAGGAGACCCTGAGGCAGCGAGAAAAAGAGACGCTGAGGCAGAAAGTGACCCGGGGACTCAGAGACAAACACACTCAGAAACAAGCGGCCCAACAGGGGCCCGGAGCGACTCGGCAAGGGCGACGGCTGGGGCGCAGACCCGGCCCGAGCAAAGCCCCGGCGTGGCGCAGGGTCGTGACGCGCGGGCGCGGGGTCCCCG